AGCCTTCGTTTTCTGACATATAGACCAGTCAAGTGCTAGAGAATTAAAATAAATAATAAATGTATTAATATGTGATTTTCAACTTGAATCTTCAGTTGTGGTTTTTGGAACATTATTCACTGTAATTTTCACCTTTCCCTCCTCAGAGACCACTGAATGCTCCAAGCAGCGAGAGCAGATGTTCAGCAGGATGNTTTATTTGACTTTACTTATATTATTGGTTCAACTTAACAAATTCACTGAATACCTTGAAAGTACTAATAGTTTGTTACTGATCCGCAGGTAAATCAAACTCCTCACATGGTTTCAGTTAAGCTCATTGGTCGTACTGTAATCATCCAGCCTTCGTTTTCTGACATATAGACCAGTCAAGTGCTAGAGAATTAAAATAAATAATAAATGTATTAATATGTGATTTTCAACTTGAATCTTCAGTTGTGGTTTTTGGAACATTATTCACTGTAATTTTCACCTTTCCCTCCTCAGAGACCACTGAATGCTCCAAGCAGCGAGAGCAGATGTTCAGCAGGATGSTMTCTGTTGTCGACACTCCTGGTCTCTTCGACACCTATCAGTCTGATGATAAAGTGAAGAGAGAAATCTCTAAATGCATCAACATGTCGGCCCCCYGGCCCCATGCCATTCTGCTGGTCATCAAAATTGGGCCTTTCTCAAAAGAAGAGAGAGYTGRTGTGATGAAGGTGGAGGAGATCTTTGGAGAGGAGGCCTGGAAGTACACCATCATCCTTTTCACCAATGCAGATGAAGTCAGTTCTGGTTTTGATCAGACYTTACAACAAGCTCCACCTGAGCTCCAAATAATCCTAAAGAAYGCTGGAAACAGATACCACCTTTTCAACAATCTGGAAGTGAACGATCGTCAACAAGTTCTGGATCTGTTGGAGATGGTCCAGAAGATGGTGGACGACAACGGAGGACAGTTTTACTCAAACGACATGTATCAAAACACAATGAAGATGTTGGATCAGAGAGAGAAAGAGCTGAAGCAGTTATATGAGCAGAAGCTAAAGGAGCAAATAGAAGCTGTAAAGGTAAAATATGAGGCACTGCTGAAAGAAGCTAAAGAGGAACGAGACCAGCTGGAGAAACGACAGCAGCTGGTGCTGGAGGAGTTGAGGCGGTACTACCATGCCTTAGAGTGCGGAGTCCGTCAAGCTGTAGAGCACATGACCAAAGATGATGACTWCAATGAACTCCTCAAAAATTTTCACAAAACCCTGAAACTGAACTGACAAAGAAGTTTCTCTGCACCAGCTCACCCTTGATCCAAGAAAAGTGAATGTGTGTAAAAACAGTATTTGAATGGGTTTGATTTGGACAACAGTTGTAGCTCAGTCTGTCCCATCTCACCTGCTGAAGCTTGGAACTCCTTCAGAGTGCTCTCAGATGACCTGGAGCTCTCTTTCTCTCATGGTTCTTCTTATAATGCCTTAGGGCAGTAGAAATTCTTTAGWATCCATCCCTGGACTTGTATTTGTCAGTAATGTTTTCTCTGAGTTATGCCAGATCCAACAATTCTGAAGAGCTGAAGGCCACAAGCAACCTGGGCTCTCAGAACACCTGAGCAGAGCCTCAGACTGATGGACTCCATGCCACGCTGCATTGCTGCAGTAATCCAGGCAAGATATTGAGTGGTGTATGGTTTTACTTTTCATGTTCATACTTTTCATTTAGCCAACATTTCTTAAAATCCTTTTTTTGTTTTGGTCTTAAGTAATATTTTACTTTTACTACTGGCTGAATTTGGAATTTTCATTAGTTGTCAGAAATAATCATCAAAATAAAATAAAAAACATTTGAAATGTATCTTTTTTTGTTAAATGAATGAATATAACATAAAAGTTTCACTTTTTGAATGGAATTACTGAAATATATCAACCTTTTCATTATATTCTAATTTTATAACCAGCACATGTATACACAAAKCTTTCTACGTTTTCATACATATTGCCTAATTTTTGTTTATCACTATTATGTTGAGGAAAACCCATTTTTCTCTGTAGATGGGCATTGTTTGACAATGTTTAGATTGGAATTTTTATTGCACAATTATTTCACAAGGCAGTGTCACATGACATCTACATTTGATTAAAGATACAGTATACTGGGCATTATTCATCCAATGAAAAGCTGTTGAGTCTGAAATGTCAATTGTGCAAATAAATTCAATTCAAATTCAAATTCAAAAATACTATATTGATCCCAGAGGGAAATTAGGTAAATAAATGATCAAGTAGTGAAATCCTGCAGTTTGCCGTGTGTCACACTATCTTTGCTGTTACCCAGAACTAAAAATAAATAGCTGCCATTTGTAAATTCATTATATTTTCATACAAAATTATATTTTAATAAAGCTGCCACACCATAAAACATTTGGAAAGTTGACTAAATTATATTTCTGGTGTAATTTTGACTATCAAATAAATAACTATGACAATAATCATGATGTCTGTTTTACGAGCTTGTTTTAAGTCTTTGAACAGAGAGATTCAACACAATTTGCTGCAAGTCACTTTATTGGTTTTTGTGTACAATGCTCTGATACACTTGACGCTACTGTATATAAATAAACTGAATTGAATTGAACTGACAACAAAAATGCAGTGAACTGTAGATGTTGGCTACTTTTGAACCCGGAGCAGCCCCACCCAGTGGCCAGATGTTATTATTTTGCTGATAAAATAATCAACCTGCATTGTGGGAGATGTCGTTTATGGTTAATGCTGACTTTAAAACAGCTTATTTTGAGACGTTAATTCAGGGCTATTACTTAGGGGGCAACAGTTAACAGCTCAGGCACCGCACAATTATTTTTTTTCACCTTTTAAATTAGTTATTTTTTTTGCCATGAATCATAAATGTAAAGTTTACAATTGAATCAAAATTTATTTCTGTAATAAATTCAGCAAGAAATTATTTGCCAGAAGCACAAGTGACAGCTAAACTAGGGTGGATGGAGAGAGTTTGGCTGAGGAGGAAATATTGGATTTCAAATATTAGGGCCAAATAGCAGAAGAAAAAAGGAGGAACAAATCTCTGCCAAAAAACTCTGAAAATTTGAAATTAATTTCAGAAATTTTTATGAAAATTCTCTGAGCTCCAAAAGTTGTAGTTTAGTGTATTCTAAAGAGGATATAATGACGTGATTTGAAAAGAAAGAAAAAGACAGAAAGAAAGAAAGAAAGAAAGAAAGCTCAAACAATATTTTGGTTCTGGGGATTTCCCAGCTGGTAATAAAAACACCTTCACGACGCTCACCACGACATGGAGCCCCTCCGACCGCACGACATCCTGTGGCCCGCCTGTCCTCCCGACTACACGCTGGCGCTGTGTCGCGTTCCGGACGACGTGCCGCTGATGACTCCCAACACCATCACCAGCATGCAGCCTCTCCATGCCTTCCCCTCCACCGGACACAGCAACATCCTGCCCCACCCCCACTCCACCACCAGGGTATAGTAGGGACTAGCTCAACACAGCACCACCTAAGGACCAAGAATACTGGATCTCCTACAGATCT